TTCTCCCCCAGCCATTACAACCTGGATACAGAAGGCAAAGCACAGGCTCAGAGAAGCCAAGTCATTTGCCCAGAGTCACACAGGAATGACAGTGCCACCAGTGACTGGGTCTCTGTGATACAGTCCCCTTGTCCCTTCCCAAGGCTCCACCCATGGCCTGCTCTCGGGCCAGCTCCGTCCTCTCCTCACCGATGTTGGGGTGGTTGAGTCCTTTCATGATTCGGACTTCTCTGAACAGCTGGGCGAGGCCAGAAAGGAAGAACAGACAGCAATGAGGGGGGTGGCTTTGCCGATCTCTTTCCCCGCCAGGCCTGGTTAACTCCCACCTGGCATGTGTTCCCACCCCGTTCCCTCTTTGGGCCTCACCTTCTGCAAGCTACTGGGATTCAGCTGGGTTTTATCAATGATCTTGATAGCAACCTAGAGGTGGAAAAAGACGGGAGGTCAAAATCCCCCAGCTCAGATCACATAGCAAATTTGGGGCGAGCCTGGGCTACACGAGACACGTCAAACATTCTCTTAAAGCTTCTTAAATATTGAATGTTAAGTCTTGCTTTGTTTTGTTTTTTTGTTTTTCTTTTTTTTTTCTTTTCTTTTTTTGGTTTTTCGAGACAGGGTTTCTCTGTGTAGCTTTGGAGCCTATCCTGGCACTCGCTCTGGAGACCAGGCTGGCCTCGAACTCACAGAGATCCTCCTGCCTCTGCCTCCCGAGTGCTGGGATTAAAGGCGTGCGCCACCAACACCCGGCTGAATGTGAAGTCTTAATTGAGCTAAGTATGGTGGCCCATGCCTATCAGGACAAACAAGGGGAGGCAGAGACCAGCCCGGTCTACACAGCAAGTTCCAGGCCAACCAGGGGCTGGAGAGATGTTAAATACAGATATGGTTCACGCAGAGGGCCCTGCAGAGTTCAGCTCCCAGTACCCACCTGGTGGCTCGAAACCATCAGTAACTCTAGCTACAAGATGTCCAATGCCATCTTCTGGCCTCCTGGGCCCCCTGCACTCTTTGTGTACATATCCACCCACAGAAACACAGACACACAACTTAAATAAGTAAATAAATGAATTTTATGCCAGGTGCAGTGAAGCACTTAGGAGTAGGTGGGGGGTAGATCTCCAAGAGTTCTAGGCCAGCCAGGACTACAAGGGGAGACCTTGTCTCAAAATAAATAAATAAATAAATAAAAGTAAAGATTTAAAACAAATATGATAAATCTTTGGGGTGGGGAAAAAGCAACCTCTGGAATGTATTCCGTACCCCACATATGGGGAACAGTCTGTGCCCTTGCCGGATTCTCACACATGGATTTTTGAGAATTCTGTCAGGCACTTTTCATGCCAGTATTGAGAAGATCATATGGTTCCTTTCATCTGTGAATGTGACGAAGCACAAGAATAAATTGTGGAATGAAAAAGAGCTTTGCTTTCCTGGGAGGGGCCCAGCGCTGCCGTCACATGGTTGGTGCTAATTCATTTGTCTGACTCCATCCCATCCTAACACTGTCTTTCAGATGGGGTACTGGGGGTGGCGGTCAGATGGCTCAGCAGGTAAAGGCATTTCCGTCTAGCCAGAGGGCCCGAGTTTGAGCCTTTGGAACCCACAAGGTGAATTGAGAGAATTAATTCCTGCAGGGTGTCCTCTGACCTCTGTACACAAAACAAATAAATGGGAAAAAAAATAAAACTAAAAGTAGTTTTGACTTGAGCCTCCATCAATCTAGCAAAAACCCATCTCAAAAAAGAAAAGGGTTTTAATTTGTATTCACACTGATGAGCAATACCAGACTGCCGTTCTGTTTCTTAGGATTTGTTTTTTTTTTTTTTTTTTTTTTTTTTTTTTTTTTTAAGTTCCAGTCTAGATGGACTGGAACTCAGTCTACAGACCAGGCTGGCCTCCAAACTCACCAAGATCCCCCTGTTTCTACCTCCTGAGTGCTGGGATTTAAGGTGTGCCACCACTGGCTGGTCCACAGAGTTCC